ATATTTAAAGCTTTCAGACAACAAGTTATGAAATTCCCTTCATTTGCAGAAATTAGGATTATTGAAATGCAACAAAGTAGAATTAACATGTTACTTTTTGCCACACATTATCTTCACATTACTAATCCTCCTGCTGCCATTGGGTCAAAATGAGTTTTCAATTTGAGACCTCCTGAGTCACTGCAACCCAAGGGCAGCAAGTGGGTTAAATCTTTCCATGTTGGACCATTAGCCTACATGTCCAGTGTACGGTGGTCAGATACTGTCAAAAAATAAAGTTGAATATGAGTGTGGATTAACAGAAAAATGAACAAAAATGTGATTAATTGTTTTAAACTTTTGCTAAATATATAAGCTATAATTAACTTCAAACTAAAACAAAGTCAGAATGTTTGTGGAAGCAGTTAACAGCATTATTATTATCTTGTTTAAAAGAACTTTTCTGCAAATACACTCCCTGGCCAAAAACAATGGTCACCACTTGAATTTAACTAAGCAAATAAGGAAGAACTGCCCTTCATATAATTACTGCATGGGTGGCTATGTTTTAGATTGCAACACGTTATTTAACCCTAAGTGATGCAGTAAGCAGCTTTTTTATTTGTTAAACAACCACGTTGAAAGACACATCCTCCTGTGGTTGTGGAAAAGATGCTAATTTGTTTCAGAAGGGTCAAATTATTGACACCAAGCAGAGAAAAGAGCTAAGATCACGAAACTGCTAAAATCAGGTGAAACACTATTAACAACTGGAAAGAGAGTGGGGAAACATCACCTTCAAGGAAGCAATGTGGAAAGGAAATAAAACATAAATGATTGTGACTGTGATGGACTTGCGACCTGTCCAGGGTGTACCCCGCCCCTCGCACTGTGACTGCTGGATATGGGCACCACTGACCCACGCAACCCTGAAAAGGAAGAAGCGTGTACAGAAAATGGATGGATGGATGATTGTGACTGACAGTCGCTTAAACGTTTGGTGAAATCACACCATTGGAAGACAACAACTCACTGCTACTATATGTTTAATATTGAAAGTAAAAGCATTTCCACTGTGAAGGGATCTCAAGGAATGGGACTGAACAACTGTGTAACTCCACAAAACAACACTTATCTGAGAGGCTG